CAGAGATGACCACTCTCAGCAGCAGAGGTCCCGAGGATGTGTCTTGGCCAAGCCCTGCCTCTGTGATAGAAACTGGCTCTCCATCTTCCACAGTGATTGTACCTACCATGAGAACACACTCTCCTGAGCCATCCACATTATCAGGGAGGAGCCCCTCCTCTCCTACACCTGTGACCTCAGTTCTCACCCGTGGTCTGGGGAAGACCGAAGACAGATTGGGTACAACCTTGGTAGCAGTGACCACGTTACCTCCAACTTTGAGTAGTCCCACAGTTGAGATAATTTCCACCTCTGAATTCTCCATAGATACAGCGAAAATTCTTCCTCCCCTATACACAATAATGAGTACTGTGGGTTCCAGCAGTTCTGGACACGAACTAAGTTCCTCTGTCCCAATTTTTCCTGAGTCCTCCAGCACCACATATCCTATGGGTACTGCTTCCTCCGTGTATGAGACCACTCCTTCCTCATCAATGCGTTCCTCCTTTGAGACGAAGACACTTTCCCATCTGACTCCTAGACTGAAGGAGACAAGAATAGCCTTGGATTCCAGCTCAAGCACACTCACAAACACACCTTCATCGCCTCTGTCCACTCATGGTTTGAAGGGTCCCAGGACTGATGCTACGTCTTCTGTGAAAGTATCAGCACCAGATCAGCCTCTGTCTACACAGTATACTGACATTCCAGTGGAAACAGTCACACGCTTTTACACTTCTCTCTCCATTACAAGGTCTGCTGGCATAACTGTCCCAGAATCCAATCTTTCTGTGCCTGTATCAGAAAATACACGTTACCTAAGCACAGATATGCTGTCTTCAGCTGAGACCATTTTTGCTAATAACACACTAACACCTTATTTGTCAGAGCCCATGGCTTCCTTTGCTACATCTGGAGTTCCAGGTGCCATTTCAGTTAGTCCATTTTCTAGGACAGAATCAGGCCCTGGGGATGCTACTATGCCCACCACTGCAGAGAGTCTACCTTCTTCAGCTTCAATACCATTCCCCTCTTTGACCTTCCGTACCACTGATTCTTCAACCAGCCCACTCCCCCATTGGATTACTTCCTCACCAGCTACCCCAAGAATAGTAGACACCAACCTTGAGGCAGAGAGCCAAAGCACTGCTGCATTACCCTTGGTTACAGCCGGTACTTTGCAGACTTGGACGCAGCCAGTCAGGACATCTTTACCACCCATTACGGATACCAGAATGACAGAGAGTGTTGGTTTGGGAACAGTGACAAGTTCTTCTCAAGTTCTTCCACACTCAACCCAGTTGACAAGTAAGGACCCACTGCTCCTACACTCTCATTATTTGGGGCTCACAGAAAATGGCTTCTTTTCCGACAGGTAAAAAGGAGTTAATTAGGAGTTTATTACTGCACCAGAAATTCCTTTAGCAAACATATATGTTGATCTATTTTCATGTTCAGGCATTGAAATAAGCACTGGGGGAACAAAGCTAAATAAGTAAGTAGTTGAATAATTATAGTACCATGATGGATGTTGTAACATTACAGCTAATGTTGATGACGACAATAATGATAACAACAAACGTTTATGGAACACTTATTCTGTGTCAAATGCTGTTCTATTAAATTCCTCATTGGAACACAGTTTGAGAAGGGACTATTATAAGCCCATTCTACAAATGAGTCAACTGATACAGAGAGAGGTTGAGTAATTTGATCAAGATCATTAAAGCTGGTAAGTGATAAGAACTCAGATTATATGGGACTAGGAACCTATGTTCTTAGCCATTAGGCTAGGCAGGAGTGGTCCAAGAGATAGGAGGAAAAGCAAGAGATTCTGGCCTCACAGAAGCCAGAGGAAGAGAGAGTTTTAGGAAGGAGGGATGGTCAGTTCCATCAAATGCTACAGAATAGCCAAATTGAAATGAGGTGAGAAGTTCTCTGACAACATGTGGGTCCTCAGGGATTCTAATGAAGGGAGCATCAATGAGTTTTAGAGGACTGAAACAACAGATAAAATAATACATAGATAAAAGGAGAGATTCCTCCTTTAAACTGAGCATGTTTCTATATTGAGAAGAGAGTCAGCAAGGAGAAGGGAAAGAAAAAGGTGAGTGAATGAAAATCGAGGGAACAAAGTACCTATGGATGTGGGAAGTACTTAGGACCTAGGAGGAGAAACACCACCTCCAAAAGAACAGTAGATGAGGTAGGGAACTTCTTGGGAGGATTCCATTCCTTGGATAAGTTGAATTTGATGCCAGATTTTGTTCTGGACACAAATCCAACAAGGCCCTCCAACTACTCCAGCACCTATTCACTAGACAATATGTACAGAAGGGTGATTTGATTATTTCCCAAACCAGTTTTAACAATTCACAATCAGGTTAGACACATTGATGGCTATTGACCCATGTCTTAAAACGTGGCTTGATAGTTCAGTGATGGGTGTTCAGTAAGCAAGTGATGAGTGGAATGGAAAGAAGGTAGGACTGTGGTTGGATGGGAGGAAGGAAGAAAGGAAGAATGGAGTGATAGATGAATGAAAGAAGAAAAGATGGATGTATAGAAGAAAGGATGAATGTATAGAGGGAAGGGTGAAAATAAGGAAGATGGATGGAAGAAAGGATTGAAGGAAATAAAGATTGAAGGAAATACTGTAGGGATGAAAAGTTGCAAAGAAAGGAGAGAGGAAATATGAAAGGAAAGATGCATGGTAGGAAGAAAGGATAAAAGGAAGGATGGATGGAATGGGTAGATATAAGGGTAGATGGACAGAAAGATGGATGAATCTCTGTGTGAATGGATGAACACAGCCCTGGTTCCAATCCATACAGATGGTTGAGAAGAAATGCATTGTGTAGTCAAATTAAGTGGATCTATTTAGACCATGTTATCCTTCTGGATGAGATGAGTTACTCTAGGTCTCTTTCCTACCCTCTCCTGCAGGGACTGACGGCATTGTGGAGCATATCACAAAGATACCCAATGAAGCAGCACATGGAGACACCACCGTCCATGTCCCCCTGGCATCCACGTCTGCTAGTCTTAGAGGTAGGTTCAACTTTGCTTACTTCCCAGTAATCCGACTTATGCCTTTATTTCCTGTTCCAGAGGGATGAAATGTTTGTTTCTTTAGAGAAAGAACTATGTGGAGTTGCCATGGGTTTCCCTGTCTCAACTGAATCTTTGTCAAGTTGTTACCAGGTAGATGTTACCTTTCATTCCCTCATAACATGCTGAGTGAGTTTAGTTCAAGGTTGGATATGTCAGCTTCACAAATCCGACCCAGTTTAACTTAACTCTGAAAGTGCTTATTAATAATTTACTGTGTGTTAGAAACTATGACATAAACTAAGGATGCACAGATGAAAATAGATCGGCATTGCATCCATGGAGCTCTCAGTCCAGTACAGGAGACAGCAAAGGAAAAAAATAATTATGATGCAAGTTTTAAAAAAATTTTTATTGGAGTATAGTTGACTTACAATGTTGTGTTAGTTTCAGGTGTACAGAAAAGTGAATCAGTTACACACATATACATATATCCACTCTTTTTTAGATTCTTTTCCCATACAGGCCTTTACAGAGTATTGAGTAGAGTTCCCTGTGCTATAAAGTAGGTCCTTATTAGTTATATGATGCAACTTTAAAGTACTTGAATGGTAGAAGGAAGGCTTCATGGAGGAGGTAACATTTGAGCTGTGTTTGAAACGATGAAGAGGAATTTAGCAGGAAGACAAGGAGAACTGATGAAGACATTCTGGACAGAAGGGAGAGTTGCATGCAAAGGCACAGGGAAGGGTAAAATCTGGACATATTTGGGAGGTACAAATAATTCACCTTTGCTAAACTATGAAATATACAGATGAGATGGTGAGAGATGAGACTGTAGACGGGCAGAAAACAACATTCAGAAAACTTTTTAAGCCCTTGTAATGCTTGGATGCCCTTTAACAAAAGGACAAAAAGTTTGTGGCCAAAAAAGTCTGACAAACATGTTGCTCCTGGAAATTCCCTGGCGGCCCAATGGTTAGGACTCTGTGCTTCCATTGCAGGGGGCACGGGTTCAATCCCTGGTCAAGGAACTAAGATTCCACAAGCCGCGTGGTGTGCCAAACAAACAAACAAAAAAACATTGCTCCTTCCTAGAGGGTAATAACATGCATAAGCATGTTAAAGGCTCTGAGATATCCTGCTGTAAAGAAACTTGTTCAGCCTTATTCAACACAGGGTTTTACATAATTATTTGACTGTATAATATTTTTGCTGAAAAGCACCTACTAACATGTTACAGTATTATTGGTCTGCATGAGTGTTTAAGAGGTGCATGGTGAGGAGAGGGGTTCTCCTCACCACATGGCTAAAAGGTAAAGTTCCCCATACCCATTAAGTTTCTTCCAACATTTTTTAAAATTTTATTTATTTATTTATCTGTTTATTTATTTATTTATTTTTGGCTGCGTTGGGTCTTCATTGCTGCACGCAGGCTTTCTCTAGTTGCGTCCAGCAGGGGCTACTCTTCATTACGATGTGTGGGCTTCTCATTACAGTGGCTTCTCTTGTTGCAGAGCATGGGCTCTAGGCATGCAGGTTTCAGTAGTTGTGGCACGTGGTCTCAGTAGTTGTGGCTCGGGGGCTCTAGAGTGCAGGCTCAGTAGTTGTGGTGCACAGGCTTAGTTGCTCCACGGCATGTGGGATCTTCACGGACCAGGGGTCGAACCCGTGTCCCCTGCATTGGCAGACGGATCCTTAACCACTGCGCCACCAGGGATGTCCCATTTTCCAACATTTTTAGAGACCAGACTATTTTACCAGTACATTTTGGAAGCTTTTTGCCAGATCCAGGCTTTGGACAGAGTCACTACCAGTCAGGTTATTAGTCTTATCCTGTGACCCAGGTATCTTTGGTTGGCTCCCCGCAGAAGCAGACATGAGTTAAGGATGTGGGCAAGTAGTTTATTTTAGGTGGGGGTTGGTCCCAGGAAGCGCTGGAGAAGAGAAGGAAAGGAAGTCAATGCAAGGTGCTTTCCTGAGCAGCTCACAGCTGTGGGCAAAAGAGTGTCAGTTCCACTCGGGACCTCTAGGAGACAGCATAGAACACCTCACCTAGCCAAGTGGCTGGAGTGTTTATCATCCAACTTCCTTCCATTGCTGGCCATGGGCTGCTTGGTCCTGGAGGTAACCCTCAGCACTTCCAGCCTGCCGGACACACAGGCTAAGTGAAAGCCCTTAGGTGCAGAGCTACAGGGGCTGCATTAGGATCCCGTTGTGATTACGTACTACAGCAGTGAGTGCTTGTGGGATATGAGTGAGGCATTGCCAGTTGGCTACACCAGATCACTTGGAAATGGATCACTGAGCTTCAGGTGATAACCAATATTTAGATGGCAAAGTTTATGAGGTATAGCTAACCATATTCATTGGCTTCTTTCAATATAGAGCGGGATTTCTCAACCTCAGTACTATCGATATTTTGGGCAGATAACTACTTGTTGTAGGGGGCTGTAGGATGTTCAACAGCATCCCTGGCCTCTGCTCACAGGATGCCAGTAGCACCCTCCATATACACACAGCTGTGACAACCAAAAATGCCTCCTGACATTGCCAAGTGTCTCCTGGGAGCAAAACTGCCCCAGGCTGAGACCACTAAATTAGAGAATCCTTGAGGACCCCACCCCCATGGTCATTTTCTCCTTACATCCTTCCTTTCCATCCTGGCCCCCACAAGATCCTGAAACTCGGTTAGGGAATTAATAACCTGCAGTGGTTGAGAGCATAGGTCTAGGATTCAGAGAGGACTATGTTCAAATTTCCACACTATCAGTCAGTAGCTGTGTGATCTTGGCAAATGATGATCTCTGAGTTTCTGTCTTTTCCCTGGTCTGTACAATGACAAGAATAATAGGATATACACTCAGTGTTCTTGTGAGGCTCAAAAATACAAGGCATGTTAGGCAATTTGCTCATCATCATCTTCATCATCAAATACATATTAAACACATTAGGATGTGTACTCTTGGCGATGTTTTTTAGGGTATACCCAGCAACCCAAGGACATTGTTCCACCATCAGAGTCCAAATCCTCCTCCTTTTGTCCCTCTCCCTGCAGCAACCTCCAGTAGGCTTTGTGGTCTTTATAGAGAAGCCTCCCTGTAGTTCTTCCTCCTTCCTGGGGACCTTTTTCTGAAGGCCTGGTGAGTAGCTGCTGTCTCAGCCAATATCACTCTACTCTTCCTCAGAGACTGAATTCCAGTCACCTTGGCCAGCTAGCATGGTTCCTGGCAAATTCAATTCAGTAAACATTTATTGTATATTAGAAGTCCAAAGAGCAGGAGTAGTAATAATGTGTGATTGTAGCTACTAACTGTAGCAATAACTCTAGCAATAGTAGGTAATAGCAGGCAGCAGCAGCAGTAGTAGCAATAACAGTAGTAATAGGTGGTAATAGTAGTAGTAGCAGCAGTAATGGTTGGTAGCAGCAGTGGTAGCATTAACAGTATTAATAACAGCAGAAATGGTAGGTAGAGGCAGTGATAGTAGTAACAGTAGTAATAACTCTAGCAATAGTAGATAATAGTAGACAGTAGTAGTAGTGGTGGTAGTAACAGTAGTAATAGGTGGTAATAGTAGTAGTAACAGCAACAACAGTAGTAATAGGTGGTAACAGTAGTAGTAACAGCAGTAATGTTAGGTAGTGGCAGTGGTAGTAGTAACAGTAGTAATAACAGCAGAAATAGTAGATAGAGGCAGTGAGAGTACTAAAAGTAGTAGTAGTAGGTAGTAGCAAGAGTAGTAATAACAGTGGTAATAGTAGATAAATAGTAGTGGTAGTAGTGGTAACATCTTATTACAAAACAGGAGGCATTGTGCTTGGTGCATTTTTATCAAGACTCTGAGATGACCACTGTACTTATTCCTACTTTATAGATAAGAAAATGGAGGTCTAGCAAGATCTGACAACTTAAAGAGCCACACATCTGTTTAGTGGAGGAGCCAGAACACTAATGTGGCGTAAGAGCCCAAGCTCTTAAGCACAAAGATGCATGATCTCTCTCAAGTCAGAGGAGACCTGCTAATGTGCATATTCATCCATGTATTTGTTCATTCATTCAACAAATATTTGTTGAGCGCCTACAATATGCCAAGCAGTCAGACATTAGTAGATATTACCAGGCAGACTGGGAGGGGTGGTACAGTGCAGGTTCAGACAGTATGATGAGGAAACATTGAGAAGGGACAGATGGATTCCTACATGGATTTGTAAAGGTAGATTTGAGCTAGGGTTTGAAGAAGGGCAGAACATAAAACCTGTGAGAGATGGGCATGGCAGGTAGAGAAAACAGCTTGAACAAAGGCTCAGAGGGAGAGTACAGAGAACATCTGGAAACAGGGGGTGGTCAAGAATTCATGGAGGAGTTTCCACATCTACTTCTCTGACTGATATGCATTGAGGAGACAATAAATATATCAGAGAAATTTATAGAAAGTGACTAGAACTTTGAGGATTTCGTTTTATAAATACAAAAAAAAAACAACCTGAAACCTATTTTCAAAAATCCATTTGTGGGCTTCCCTGGTGGCGCAGTGGTTGAGAGCCCGCCTGCCGATGCAGGGGACACGGGTTCATGCCCCGGTCTGAGAGGATCCCACATGCCGTGGAGCGGCTGGGCCCGTGAGCCATGGCCATTGAGCCTGCGTGTCTGGAGCCTGTGCTCTGCAACGGGAGAGGCCGCAACAGTGAGAGGCCCGCGTACTGCAAAAAAAAAAAAAAAAAAAATCCATTTGTGTGGGACTTCCCTGGTGGCACAGTGGTTAAGAATCCACCTGCTAATGCAGGGGACACGGGTTCAAGCCCTGGTTCAGGAAGATCCCACATGCCGCGGGGCAACTAAGCTCACGCGCCACAACTACTGAGCCCACATGCCGCAACTACTGAAGCCTGCGCACCCTAGGGCCCATGCTCTGCAACGACATGCCACCACAATGAGAAGCCCGCGCACCGCAACGAAGAGTAGCCCCCACTCGCCGCAACTAGAGAAAGTCTGAGCGCAGCAACGAAGACCTAACGCAGCCAAAAAAAAATTTTTTAATCCATTTGTAACCTCATTCCCTAGCGAATGGCAACGTTAACCACAGTCTTGTGGGTTATCCATGCTTGGCCAAACTTCCCAGGATCTCCTTCTCACTTCCTGAATAGTTTATCGAAAAAGGTAAAGTTCTTAGACTTACATGAACTACAGTTTAAATCCTGGTCTAGACACTCTAGATGTAATTAAATATCAAAAATCTCTGCGGGGGCTTCCCTGGTGGCGCAGTGGTTAAGAATCTGCCTGCCAATGCAGGGGACACGGGTTTGAGCCCTGGTCTGGGAAGATCCCACATGCCGCAGAGCAACTAAGCCCGTGAGATACAACTACTGAGCCTGCGCGCCGGGAGAGGCCGTGACAGTGAGAGGCCCGCGCACGGCGATGAAGAGTGGCCCCCGCTCGCCGCAACTGGAGAAAGCCCTCGCACAGAAACGAAGACCTAACACAGCCAAAAAAAAAATTAATTAATTAAAAAAAAAAAATCCCTACGGGGCTTCCCTGGTGGCACAGTGGTTGAGAGTCCGCCTGCCGATGCAGGGGACATGGGTTTGTGCCCCGGTCCAGGAAGATCCCACATGCCGCGGAGCGGCTGGGCCTGCTGAGCCTGCGCGTCCGGAGCCTGTGCTCCGCAATGGGAGAGGCCACAGCAGTGAGAGGCCCGCATACCGCAAAAAAAAAAAAAAAAAAAATCTCTGCGTACTGGTTCCAGTAGCTACTTACTTGATGATCTTGGATATATTGCTTAAGCTCCTATCTGTAAAGTGTGGGGAGAAATATCTACATCAAAATAGGTATTGGGTGCATTAAATAAAGTCAAGTCTTCGGATGTACTATCTAAAAATTTTAACCTCCCTGAGGATCGGCTCTTTCATCCATAGAATAAAAGTGATTACTATGTAATCATAATTTTAAAGGTTTAAAATGACAATTAATATAGGATACTTAACAAATGAGAGGTCTCCAGTTATGATATTATTATTTGTAACCGAAAGTGGGGCCCAACTGCTTACCGCTCAAAAGCCAATAAAGAGGCAAGGTTGGTGGAAAGTTTGCTTTATTTTGGATGCCAGCAACTGCAGGGAGAGGGGAGGGCAGACTCCTGTCCAAAGGCCAACTCCCACCCCCACAACCGGTGGGCAAGAGCTTTTATAGACGGAGGGATGGGGCTACATGCAGAAACAGCAGAGTCAGCTCTCACAGTCATCTTGAAATTGGTCATCAGTGGTCTGACCAGCATCATCTTGATTGTTTTAAGTACAGTTTTAGGGCCAGTTTGTTTCCATTTCTTTGAGGCAAATTCTTGGAATCGTGTCAGCTTATGTCATAGCTACGGTCTGGTCATCATGTAGTTAATTTCTTCCACCTGGTAGGGGTTTCAGTCTCTACAAGACAGCTCACAGGATACGGCTCAGAATATTATCTATAGCCCTTGAGAAGGACCTAAAGGTCCTTGACTTTGCTTAATGACTAAACTATCATTTAGTCTTGTTTGACTGCTTTTCTTTGCTTCTGCATTTTCTCACTTCTCTGATTAAACTTATTCTTTGGCTAAAGTGTTTCCACAGACAAAAGGCAGGCTGAGGACATGGGGGTCAAAGACAATAGGGTCCTGCTCCATTTCAGTATCATATTCTCAACTGTCAGTTCCCAACCAGAGATGCTTATGAAGAAACTGCCTGTGGTGATAGAACACTTGCCCAGATGATAGCCTGACTGACAGACTCAGGATCTCTGTGAGGGTGTGTTCAGAATAGATAGATATTTTTTTCAAAGCTAAACAAATAAATATCATCACAGCTCTGGTTAAAAAATGAGCAGTGGTCTAATTTTCTGGATCAATCTTTTTCTCTCTTCCTTCTCCTACTTTCACTCATTTTAGATTAATGATTATTCCAATATGGTCCTGAGGTATTTATACTCTCTTGAACTTGGGCAATATAGCTGCCACCTGTGTTTATAGTTAATAAAAAGAGCAATTAGATTTATTCGGATTTCAGAGAGCTCTTTCATTTTATGTGCATGGATCTTATTTTTTTTAAGATTTATTTATTTATTTAATTTATTTTTGCCTGCGTTGAGTCTTAGTTGTGGCATGCAGGATCTTCTCTGAGGCATGCAGGATCTTTCTTTGCAGCACACGGGCTTCTCTCTAGCTGTGGCATGCAGATTTTCTCTCTCTAGTTGTGGTGCGCAGGCTCCAGGGAGTGTGGTTTCTGTAGTTGTGGTGCGTGGGGTCCAGAATGCATGGGCTCTGTAGTTTGCGGCATGCAGGCTCTCTTGTTGAGGCCCGCGAGCTCAGTAGTTGCAGCACGCAGGCTTAGTTGCCTCACGGCATGTGGGATCTTAGTTCCCTGACCAGGGATCGAACCCACATCCCCTGCATTGGAAGGTGGATTCTTTACCACTGGAGCACCAGGGTAGTCCCATGCATGGATCTTTTTTAAGGAAAGTTTTACTCCATTATGTTTTTGAGTTTTGTTTCTGTTGTTATTATTCTGATTTCTACCTGAGAAAAAAATAATAAACCTTATGTCGGTTTCCATTTTCAGTTTTTTCACTGTTCTCTTTTTATTTTCATGCTCTTAATGTTTATAATAAACTCATAAACTGATTTTTTAATATATTTTCTTGGCCGCCGCACAGCATGTGGGATCTTAGCTCCCCAACCAGGGATCGAACCAGTGCCCCTTGCATTGGAAGTATGGAGTCTTAACCACAGAACCACCAGGGAAGTCCTATAAACTGATGTTTTAAAATTCTATTCCTGTTCTAAATAAATACTTTTAAACAGAAAAAGAATTCATGGAGGAGTTGCAGCCCAAGATGAGTCAGGTAGGGTGAGGGAATGCCAATCACAATTCCTTTTCCCATTCCAGAAGCATCACTGGAACACCCCAGGCAGACATTTCTCTCCCTTTCCTGATGTGGAGAAAAAATAAGCGATTGCCAACCCAGTAAGTAGTAATCATGTGTCCCTCCTACAATTCACAGGACTATCAACAGGAGGGAAAGAGAGGGCAGAGACAACTGCCATGGTTCTGAAGACCACTTCCACAGTGACTTTGACTACCAGAGTCTCTACTCCCACTTCAGGTATGCTGTCTCTCCTTAGGACATCAGATAAAACAGCCAGCATAAGCACAACAGGAATGATCAGCACAACCCCAGATGTTCCAAAGATGACAGCCTCATTTGTCACCAGACCTGGAGACAAGACCAGCACAGTAGTTCCCATGACAACCCCATCTATTTTCAATAGAGGACCACAGACTACACCCTCACTGGTCCCTAGTTCTGGGGCAGAGACCAGTGCAGCTGTTCCAACTCTGACTGTTTCCTTTGGTGAGCCAGAGACCACAACCTCATGGGTCACTCATCCTGCAGAGACTAGCCCAACTGTTTCCAGGGCAATCCTGAATGTTTCTCATAGTGAATCAGACAGCACACCCCCAACAGCTACAAGTTCTGGGGAAGAAGTCAGTTCAGCTGTTCCAACTCCGACTGTCTCCCCTGATGTACTGGGGGTGGTGACCTCACTGGTTACTAGTTCTGGGACAGAGACCAGCTCAGTTGATCAAACTCTGACTGTTTCCCCTGGTCAGCCAAATGCAACAACCTCATGGCTCCATTCCACAGAGACCAGCACACCTGTTTCCAAAACAACTCTGAATTTTTCTACCTGGATTAAAATCTGTTTTGTATTTCAGCAGTCCATTTTCCCAAGATCAGACAGCTAATACATGTGGTAGAATCGAGACTCAAACCTAAATTGACTCGAAAATCTAAGCCCACCTAATTACTAGGCTACAGCTCAGACTAACCCAGCTATAACAAACCTCAAATCTCAGGATGGAAAAGTATATTAAGCGGCCCCTAATACAACAATTTAAACTAAGTAATTATGTCCCTACTATATCACCTTGGACAATTTCTTTCTACCTGGATTAAAATCTGTTTTGTATTTCAGCAGTCCTTGGGAATTACCTAAAAGTAGTAGTTAACCACTATGGGTTTTGGTGAATTATAGGTCTTGCTTTAATTTAGCCCTGGTCCTGCCTATTGCTTACTCTGTGGCCCTGGGCAAGTCATGACCTCTCCACACTTTGTCCATTTTTAGAATGGAATTTTTTAAAAAGTCACCTACGAACTTGGACTGGAACTACACCATTGACTCTCCTGGGTCGCCAGCTTACAGAGGGCAGATCTTGGGACTTTTCAGCCTCCATAATTACATAAGCCAATTCATTATTTAAAAAAAAAAAAAAGTCACCTAAGTGTGAGTCAAATGAGATGAAACCTGAATAACCCAAGTAAACCACAGGCTCCACTTGGTCAAGTCTCAGAGAAGAGTTTCATTTCAAGAAACCCAATGAGACTATTAAATATAAAATAAGTCTAAGTTTTACTTGCATTTCTTACAGAGCATCAAAGAGGATCCAATCCATTATCCAGAACCATACTTATTCAAATCCTCTTTCCTCCATTTTCTCATATTCTCCAACTTTATATTCTCTGGCTGACCCCCCAAGTCTGTCTCTCTCTCCATCTCCCTCACTATTCTCAGTCCAACATTACAGGAGTCCAAGAACTATGCTGTCAAAGGTCAAACTTTGTCTTTGGAGAGCTGGGTATTGGGAGAAACTCAACGAGCAAGGACAAAATTATATGTCATGGATGAAGAGAACACAAATAAGGCTGGAAACACACATAAAATTGCTGTCCTTATTATTTATTTGATGAGGTTGATATTATTCCAGGCACCTAGTAAATCTCCACAATATTGAGGGTGATTTGATCATTATTTTCTTTAAGGTTAATGGTTATGAGGATGAAATTATCAGGAGCATCAGAGTATGAGGCAGTTAACTCATAAAGAATAACCATCTTTATTTACTGATGAATCTCAAAGAAAGCACTCAGTAAGGTCTGTGAGCTTGTGTTTCCAGTTCTACACTTCATTCCTTTTTTTTGTTTTTAAGTCTTTACTGAATTTGTTACAGTATTGCTTCTGCTTTAAGTTTTGGTTTTTTTGGCCGTGAGGCATGTGGGATCTTAGCTCCCTGAACAGGGAATGAACCCGCACCCCCTGCATTGGAAGGTGAAGTCTTAACCACTGGACTGCCAGGGAAGTCCCCCTTCACTCCTTTCTTAACCTTCTCCCATCATCTTACTCTTTCTTTCTGCCTCTCTCTGCAGGTTATAACCATCAGTACTGGATCCCCACCACCAGCAGTGAGTAATGAGGGCTCAGATATTCCCATGACCCTGGGACCCTTCCTCCCTCAGCCTGCTCCCTGGGAGGAAAGTATGCCCCATCCCCCAGACACTCAGCCCCACAATAGCCTCAGACCAGCAAAAGTCTCAGGTTAAGCTAAGGTAGAGATGCAAGTTTCCATTAATAACTCTAGCCTCTCGTTGCTTCATGATAGGATCCAACAATTCTTTCAGCTCCGGTGACCTCTACATTCTCTCCAGGACCTCCAACATCTCTGACCTCCACCCCCAGCTCCACAGGTCTAATATCTGGGTCATGAAATTTCAAATCCCATCTAGTGGCTGATGGATTCTTGCATGGTCTGGACCCTGATGCCCACACAGCCTCAGCCTGTCCCACTGTCTACCTTGCTCCCTAATCCAGCCTCACTTCTGTTCCTGCAGGGCCCAGACATCCTTCCATTCTCATGCACTTACTGTTTTTGGAACTCAGCTGTGCTTGGTTCCTCCTTGTCCTCCAAATCTCATCTCAGCACGTTCTTGCTCAGACCATCTCCTAGAAAACAGCTTTTCCCCATAGCTAATCTCTATTCTATTCCTATTGATATGAACATTTCCTTCCTGGAAATTACTGCTATTCTGTGGGCAAGGATGTGGATAAAAGGGAACCCTTGTACACTGTTGGTAGGAATGTAAATTGGTATAGTCATTGCAGAAAACAGTATGGAGGTTTCTCAGAAAACTAGAAATAGAACACTATATGACCCAGCAATTCCACTCTTGAAAAAAACAAACACTAATTTGAAAATATTCCTGTGCCCCAGCGTTCATAGCAGCATTGTTTACAATTGCCAAGATATGGAAGCAACCTATGTGTCCATCAACAGATGAATGGATAAAAAAAGATGCGTGTGTGTGTGTGTGTGTGTGTACACAATGGAATACTACTCAGTCATAAAAAGGACAAAATTTTGCCATTTGCAGAGACATAGATGGACTTGGAGGGTATGATGTTAAGTGAAATAAGTCAGACAGAGAAAGACAAATACTGTATGATCTCACTTATATGTGGCATCTAAAAAATACAACAAACTAGTGAATATAACAAAAAAGAAGTAGACTCACAGATGTAAAGAACAAAGTAGTGGTTACCAATGGGGGTGGGGGGAGGGGCAACACAGGGGTTGTGGAGTGGGAGGCATAAGCTACTGGGTGTAAGACAGGCTCAAGGATGTACTGTACAACACGGGGAAAATAGCCAATATTTGTAATAACTGTAAATGGAAAGTAACCTTTAAAATTGTATAAAAGGGACTTCCCTGGTGATCCAGTGGTTAAGACTCCGAGCTCCCAGTGCAGGGGGCACGGGTTTGATCCCTGGTCAGGGAATAAGATCCCACATGCTGTGCAGCGCAGCCAAAAACATAAAATAAATGAAATTGTATAAAAAATTTAAGAATATTTTTAATAAATGTAAGCTTTTTAATAAAATACATGAGATGCACATTTAAAAAAATTCTATTGGGGTATAGTTGATTTACAGTGTTGTGTCAGTTTCAGGTGTACAGCAAAGTGAATCAGTTATACGTATACATATAGCTAGTCTTTTTTAGATTCTTTTCCCATATAGGCCATTACAGAGTATTGAGTAGAGTTTCCTGTGCTCTACAGCCCCACTTCTCACTTTTGACCAGGATGGGTTTCTCTCTTGGTTGAGGCCCCTATGCCAGGAAAGCAGGCAGGCACTCTGAACACCTAGGGGATCCAAGCTTTGGACACACTGGGCATCAGCCTAGAATCCAGGAAGAAAGAGCATTTGGAAGGGTGACCCTTAACAGGGGCTCTGAGGGTCAATGCACAGCTGTGCTGAGGTTGACTGGAATTACTCATCTTCCCCTCTCTCTGTCCCCAACCTAGGAATAGAGTTTGGCAACTCACACTTTCTTATCACCGTTGCCCCATCAGGCGGGCAGGAGACATCCTGGTCCTTTATGACTCCCATTTTAGCAAAGAGGAAAACAGAATTACAGAGAAGGGAAGGGAACTGTCCACACCCATAGTAGGTTTTTCACCAGTCTAGGTCCTGAGGTTCTTCTGAGTTCACATTTTTCCCCTTCACCTTGGCCACTGCAGGGGCCAGTTTAAGACTCTCCCCAACCCCTTGTAAGCTGCACAACTTATATGCTTCATTGTGTTCACTCATTCAGCATTTACCAAGCATCTACTATAAGCCAGGCCTTGGGCCCGACACCAGAGACAGACAGGCTACATGTACAACCTATCCTAATGTAAGTTCCAGTGGGGCAAAGACTGTTTGATTCGGCAGTATATTCCCCAAATGTAAATGGAACCTGACACATTGTAAGCTTTCCATAAATATTCACTGGATGTAGGGATAGATTGGAGGGAGGCTGGAAGGGCAGATGGCAGGGTGGATGGATATTTGGGAGCAAAAATGTGTGAACATAAATATTATGAGAGTCTCTTGTTGGGGACTTGCTGGTGAGGTGGGTAAGGAAGGGTCATTTCTAATCCAAAGGTCAGGAAAGCCTTTATAGTGGAGATGACATTTGAGTCTGATCCTAGAAGATGCATAGATGCTCACCTGGTACAGAGGGAATGACATCCCGAAAGAAGCCCCACATGGACAAAGCCCATGTATATCTGGGCTTGTTCCTCAGCCTTCCCTTAATGTGTGACTTTTTTGTTTCCAGGTTATAATGAACATGGTCCAGATGAGCCTCTTACAAGTATGCATCTTTTCATCCACTGTCCATTTCAGTCTCCAATGATCTTGAGCCAAACTTTTCTTCTCACTGACAAAGGGAGCTTGCCCCAAACTCAGGCCAGGTCTCCTGAGTGGGGGCAGGGTATCAGTGGGAGGAAGGATGCCGAGTCCTTCGTCTCTTTTTAGACCTGCAGCCATGGTATTGGCTTTCCGAATTTTCCACACCCTTCTGGGCTGGAGGAAGAAATTTGAACGAGCGTTCGCTACAGAAATAAGGGTTCAGGTCAGATAATGACCTTGTAGTCCATGCCTCCTGATAACAAAACCTTTAAATAGGGCCTGCAGAATGGGCCTCAGTGTCAAGTTGCAAACTCTGGTGGCTACTCAGTGCTTTGGCCAAATTTGTCCATTCACTCATCCAATGATCACTTCACCTATCTTTTCACCGATCCATTCTTCCATTCTCCTAGTTATTCCTTCTCTCAGACCTCTTCCTTCCTCCCTCCCTCCTTCCCTCCCTCCCTTCCATCCATCTATCCATCCATCCATCCAACCAACCATCCTTCTGCCTATTCACCTGTTTGTCTTTCTTTCCTTCTGCACTTCCATTCATCTCTCAACTTTTCTTCCTTGTGTTTATTCTTCTTTCCTTCTCTTTGACCCTCCTTGTGTCCATTCTTCCTCTGTCTGCCTGTATTTCTGCCCCTCCATCTGTCTGTCCTCTTTGTTCAGTCTCTCTCTTGTTTACCCACTCACACTCTCTTGGGTTCATTTCATTCACAGGCTTGCTCATCCCTCTACTCATACAATCACTCCTTCGCTCACTCTCATTAATGGTAAACCTATGAATGGTTTCTAGAGCCCAGGTGAGCCTGGGGGCTTCTGGAGCCCAGGTGAACCTGGAGGCTTCTCCCACTCTGTGGGGGGCTCTGTTCCTCCCTAATGACTGCCCTTTCCATAGCTCCTGAACCAGCTACCACATTCCTGCCTACTTCATCATCATCTGTACAACCAGAATCCACCACAGGTATTGGGGGCCCCTCTTCCTTCCCAAGAGAAGCTCTCCAGCCCCACACATCCACCGGCCAATGTAACACAGGAGCTGGGAGGCCAGGGGGTGCAATTCTGATTTTAGGGCAATCGTGCTGATCACAAAGATTATACCAATAATTCTGTGACCATTCTGTCCCAAGCCATGTTCTGGCCATGGAGATAGAATATACAGTTTCTGTCTCTGAAAAAGTCATAATCAAGTGAACTAAAGATTACTTAGGAAAAAAAAAAAAGATTACTTAGGGACACAAGTGAAGTAAGTCAGAAGGAGAAAGACAAACACCATATGATATCACTTATATGTGGAATCTAAAATATGACACAAATGAAACTATCTATGAAACAAACAGACTCAGAGAACAGACTTGTGGTTGCCATGCGGAAGGGGTGAGTTGGGAATTTGGGGTTAGCAGATGCAAACTATCAAATATAGAATGGATAAACAAGGTCCTACTGTATAGCACAGGGTACTGTATTCAATATCCTGTGATAAACCATAATGGAAAAGAATATGAAAAAGAATATATACATATATGTATAACTGAATCACTTTGCTATACAGTAGAAATTAACACATTGTAAATTAACTATACTTCAATAAAATAAAAAATTTTTTTTAATATTACTTACGGGGACTTCCCTGGTGGTCCAGTGTTTAAGACTCTGCGCTTCCACTGCAGGGGGCATGGGTTTGATCACCCGTTGGGGAACTAAGATCCCACATGCGGCATGGCGTGGCCAAAAAATATATATATTACTTAAGGACACAAAAAAGGCAGAGACACTATTATTAACAGGGTGCCATGGGAGTGCAGAGATGGGGCAAGTCAAGGATTGCCTCCTGAAACTGTACTAGACACTGGACATGACAAGAACAAGATAGATGAATGTCTGCTCTCATGGAGCTCCACCTCAATGGGCTCCTGAAGCAAGAATAGGAGTTTTCCTGGAAAAGAAAAGGGTGGAAGAGCATTCCAGGAAGCGGGAACTGCATAAGCACAAGCAGAAAAGCTCAGCTTAGGAGATTCCTTATAAAATTCCAGTTTTCTCCCTCTACAGGGTGACTTTCCATTTAGGAGCCCTATAGTCCCCAACATGTGGACCTGGTTTTGGTTGATTATGACAGTAGGTAGGGGACCCCAAGCCACCATGCCTCTGTCCTAAAACCTGAGAGTCTCCATCTGTCTTTTCTTCCTCTTGGTGGCTCCAGGCTATGTACCCCAGAGTTCATCTATCCAGAGCGAGTACCAGCTAAATTTCCACATCATTAACTGGAACCTCAGCAACCCAGACCCCATGTCCTTAGAGTACACTGCCCTGCTGAAGGACATCCAGGACAAGGTAGGGTCTCTCTCCCCTCCCATCTCTCCTTGCCCTGGGTGCCCCTCTCATTCCTCAGTCTGACTTACATCTGTTAAGTGATTGCTTAACTCCTCACTTTACCTACATGTTCTGGGTTCTTGCTGATTCCAGGGGTCATACCCTAGCTGCCTCCCCACTTCTCATATGGGCAAACTGAGGCTCAGAAAGGGGAGCACTGTGCCTAAGGTCACACAGTGAGTTAAGGACAGAGCCAGGATTGGAACTCAGGTCTCCCTTGCTTCAAGACCTATGTTTGTTCTTCCACTGGCTCCAGTGGCCCCCTCCAGCCCCAAGAGACCTCCATCGCACTCACTCTCCCTACCCTTTATTCCAGGTCACAAAACTGTACAGAGGCAGCCAGCTACAAGACATATTCCACTCCTGCCTGGTCACCAACCTGATGTAAGTTGAGACTGGAGGCATTGGCTGAGCTGGCGGCTTGAGGCTCTGACCCCCTGTTGGCACACCCTTGAACTGGAAGGTTCATTGACATGGTGCCCATTCTTCCCCATGTCCCTGACAGCTAATCTTACCATCTCCTTCCGTACGTCTTCGGGGTGCAGGAAAAGGATTAACCTCATGGAGCCACCAACCCCTTGCACCCACCTCCTTCTTGGGAAATACAACTTTCAGCTAATAATAGTCCAATAATAACATTCACCGTGGCCAGGCTCCCTGCTGAGTACTTTCATGCAAGATCACCTCATTTAATTCTCATAACATCCCCCAAGAAGTGAATGCAATGTTCATCCGCAGTGTTCACATGGGAAAACTGAGGCTCAGAGAAGTGAACAGCGCAAGAGCTGTCAAAGTTGGGTTTGAACCCAGGTCTCTGAGGGATGGGTAGAGGAACTAGGACATCTATACTAGAGAGAGGGAGGATCATGGGACACAATGCTGACTTTGAATGTTACCAAACTTCAGTTCCTTTGTCTTTAAAATGGGGAAAACTATAATAATAGCTTCCACCAGAGCGATGGGGAGGGAATGTGGAATTCACTTCTTAGAGATGCACAGTAGACATTCATTATTGTTACTGTTATTGCTTCTATTCCCAACCCCTAGAAGTCTTTCCCTTTTTGGTCAGGGTCTCTTCTCTTGCCTGGGGGAAGAGGCAGTCAGATACCCACAGTGCTTGTCCCTAGGTCTTTGGCTCTATAAAACAGTAACTCAGGAGACACTGCTGGTGTTGGGTGCTGGCTGAGTTCCCATGGCCTCTGTTCCTAGGCTGGATCCCATGTCGGTCAGCATCAAGGTACTGTTCTCCTCCAAACTGGACTCCAGCGTGATGAAGCAAGTGTTTCTAGACAAGACCCTTAATGCCTCATCCCACTGGCTGGGTGCCACCTACCAGTTGACAGATGTGCATGTGACAGGTATGAGATAAGGTGGGGGAATAGGTTCATGGCTGGAAAAGATGGTTTTATGAAGAAGGATAGGGCTTCTGGGTAGCAGTGAAATGGATAGAGGCTGCAGAGGAAAAAGGGGGGCTTTCTGGAAGCCCATGTTGATGATTCATGGCAATGTGTCATCCAACAGGATGCAGGAAGAGAAAATGCAGCGATTGCAACCAAGGAAATGGTTATTTTACATGTCAGTTTTTCTAACCCAGAATGTAAAGGATCCTGTGTTTCCTTCTTAGGCTGCAGTTATGAGTCATGCATTGGTTGATCCATTCATTCATTCAATGTATACGCCATGAAAATAAATAGGCACTGATGATACACCATGAAAACCACTATAACAGGGGAATTTCAAAACTCTGTGGGAACCCCCAAAAGGGATACACAATTCTCTCTTGGAAAGTTTTCTAGAGGAAGTGATGAAGAAACTGAGATCTGAAGGAGAACAGGACCTAGTTGGGGGAAAGAGATGGGCAGCTGTGCTACATGTGTCTATAACCTAGAATATAGAAAGAACATGTCATTGGAGGAGGCTTTAAGAAGTTTGGTGTGGCTGGAGCATACACCTTGACATGAGACATGGGAAAGCTGTAGCTGAAGATGTGGGCAGGGACTTTCCTGGGCACTGGAATGGTTTGTGGAGGAACAGAACACACCCAGAATTCTACTTTAGAAAGCGCATCCTCTCCGTGTTACAAGGACAATGATTGGGGACGGGGAGGAAGAACAGAGGCAAGAAGACACATTAGGAACCTAGGTCAACAAAGGTGTGTGATAGATGCCCACTGAGATGGTCAGCACCTGCACCTGCCAACTCTGCCCCAGAGAAGCCCAAGCTCCTCTTCACCACATCCTAGTGAACTCTCATAATGCTTGGTGGAGAGTTGGACAGGCAGACAGATGAATGGATTCAAGGTGGACAGGTAGATGAACGGTCTTCTGTAGGCCACTTTTTTTTTTAAATTTTATTGAAGTACAGTTGATTTACAATGTTGTGTTAACCTCCTCTGTATAGAAGAATGACTCAGTTATACATTTATATATTCTTTTTCATATTCTTTTCCATTATGGTTTGTCACAGGACATTGAATATAGTTCCCTGTGCTATAGAGAAGGACCTTGTTGATTATCCATCCTATATATAATAGCTTGCCTTTGCTAATCCCAAACTCCCATTCCCTCCCTCCCACATCCCCCTCCCCCTTGGCAACCACAAATCTGTTCTCTATGTCTGTGAGTCTGGTTTTGCTTCATAGATATGCTGATTTGTATCGAATTTTAGATTCCACATATAAGTGATATCATACAGTATTTGTCTTTCTCTTTCTGACTTGCTTCACTTAGTGTGATAATCTCTAGGTCCAATCCATGTTGCTGCAAATGGCATTATTTCATTCTTTTTGAGTGTAGCCCACTTCTAAAATCCCACCTCAGTCCACATTGCCAGGAATAAGTAGACTGGCTGTAATGACTTCTTTGTTAAAAACTTCATACTTTCTTTTTATTCTAGAAGTGGAGCCATCAATTCATATACCAACAGACCAACCAACAATCAGTCCCAGCTTCCAGAACTTCCAGCTGAATTTCACTGTCACCAACTTAATCTATTCCCAGGACATAGCCCCAGGCACCCCCAAACACCAGCGGAACAAGAGAAATATTAAGGATGCGGTGAGAATGGGGTTGTTTGTCCACCCTGTTCCCATGTAGAGACTGACCTATGGACACTGGGTAGTCAGAGGGTGACTTTTTTTTGGTGTGCACATTTATTTTTTTTCAGTTTGGCAATCTGGCCTTTTTTTTTAACATCTTTATTAGAGTATAATTGCTTTACAATGGTGTGTTAGTTTCTGCTTTATAACAAAGTGAATCAGCTATACACATACATATATCCCCATATCTCTTCCCTCTTGCGTCTCCCTCCCACCCTCCCTATCCCACCCCTCTAGGTGGTCACAAAGCATCGAGCTGATCTCCCTGTGCTATGCAGCTGCTTCCCACTAGCTAGCTATTTTACATTTGGTAGTGTATATATGCTGGACATTTTTAAAAACTGAAGTATAGTTGATTTACAATATCATGTTAATTTTGGGTGTACAGCACAGCGATTCAGATACACATATATCCTTCTTCAGATTCTCTCCCTTAAAGTTAATACAAAATATTAAGTATAGTTCCCTGTGCTATACAGTAGATCCTTGTTGGTTACCTGGAGGGTGACTTTTTTTTAACATTTCATGAAGACAGGTTCTTATTCCCATTTTACAAACTAAGAGACAGCCATAGAGGGGTTCACTTGCTAGCCCAAGTCATACCCTGGAACAGGCCCTGGGTTAGTGGTTTTTTTTTCGTTTTCGTGTTTATTTGGGTTTTTTTGGCCGTACCACTCAGCATGTGGGATCTTAGTTCCCTGACCAGGGATCAAACCCATGCCCCCTACAGTGGAAGCACAGATTCTTAACCACTGGACCGACAAAAAAAAAAAAAAAAAAAAAGATGGGGAAGTGTGTTCTTTGGTTAATTGGCATTCTCCGATGCCACTGTGCCATGGATTCTGACCAAGGAAATGTTGCCCTGTCTTTCAGCTCAACCAGCTCTTCCGAAACAGCAGCATCAAGAGTTATTTTTCTGACTGTCAAGTTTCAGCATTCAGGTGAGTTCCAACTCAGGACCCAATCATTTTGGAGGTTTGTTCTGTCCTTTGAAAGTGTCCCACTGCCATAGTCTCTCAGTTCCTAGCTGTCAGAGAGGAGAGCCCTAGGAATATAGAGCTGTTACCCAAACATCAGCTTGTTCCTGAACCAGCGAGTACAACTGGCTAGAAACTCAGAAGAGCTTGTGTCAACCTAGGTAGGCATGAAGGTGGCCGGTGCTGGGGGCCATGGAATATAGAGTGTAGCATTCATGTCTTAAGAAATCGGCCACTGAAGGCAGAATCCATGGGAGCTAAGGGTTAGAACCAGATGACTTGGAATCCAGCAGTCTAACCGTGCTGTCCAATACTGTAGCTACTAGCCATAAGAGGCAATTAAAAACTTTTATACACCTCTTGGGATATGTTTCACATACCATAAAATTTACGTTTTTGATGTATGTAATTTAGTGGCATATTTATATAGTGCTACAACTATCCCACTACCTAATGGAGGGAGGAACATTTTCATCACACCAAAAAGAAATCTTGTACCCACCCATTAGCAGTCACTCATTTTTCCCTCACCCCCACCCCCTAGCAAACGATTTACTTTCTCCCTCTGTAGATTTGCCTATTCTGAACAATAGGCATTCCATTTATATGAAATGTATGTAAATGGAATCATACACTATGTCGTCTTTTGTGACTGATTTCTTTCACTCAGCATAATGTTCTCAGGATCATCCGTGCTGTAACATATATCAGTCCTTCATTCCTTTTTAGGACTGAATAATATTCTATTGGATGGCTGTACCACTTTTGTTTATCTGTACATCCACTGATGGACATTGGATTGTCTCCACTTTTTGGCTATTATGAATAATGCTGTTATGATCATTAATATCCAAGTTTTAACGTGAACTTATGTTTTCAATGCTTTTGGGCATATAAATAGGAATGGGTATTATAGGGTCATAGGGTAACTATGTTTAATTTTTGAGGAACTACTGAATTATTTTCTACAGAGGTTCCACCATTTTATATTCCCTTCAGCAATGTATGAAGGTTCCAAATTCTTCACATCCTCACCAACGATTATTATTGCCCTTTTTTTCCCCACTATAGCCATCCTAGTGGGTGTGAAGTGGTAGCTCATTGTAGTTTTGATTTGCATTTCCCTAATGATTAGTGATGTTGAGCATTTTTTCATATATTTATTGGCCATTTTTATATCTTCTTTGGAGAATTGTTTATTCAAGCTCTTTACCCATTTTTAAAATTTTGTCTTTTTAATGTTGGGGTATAATAGTTCTTAATATAGTCTGGATACTAGACTCTTACAAGATACATGATTTGCAAATATTTTCTCCCATTTGAAAGGTTGGATTTTCATGTTCATGATAGTATCTTTTTTTTTTTTTTTTTCATGATAGTATCTTTTAAAGCACAACAGTTTTTCATTTTGGTGAAATCCAATTTATCTACTTTTTCCTTTGGATTCCTGTGCTTTTAGTACCATATCTAAGTAAGCAATGACTAATCCAAGGTTATGAAGATTTACTCTTATGTTTTCTTCCAAAGGCTATATAATTTTATCTCTTACATTTAGATCTTTAATTTATTTTCAGTTAATTTTTGTATATGCTGAGATAGGGGTCCAACTTCCTTCTTTTGCATGTGAATATCTAGTTGTCCCAGCTCTATTTGTTAAGTAGCCTATCCTTTCCCTGTTGTTTTGGAAACTTTGCTGAAAATCAGTTGTCCATAATTGCATGACTTTGCTTACAGACAGTAAATTTTATTCCATTGATCTGTATGTCTATCTTTTTGCCAGTGGCAGTGTTTTGAGTACTGTAGTTTAGTAGTAAGTTTTGCATTTGGGAAGTGGCGCTGTCCAGCGTTGTTCTTTCTCCATATTGGTTTGGTTATTCGAGTCCCTTGAAATTCCATATTAATTTTAGTATCAGCTATCAATTTCTGCAAAAGAGCCAGCTGGGATTTTGACAGGGATTGAATTTAATCTTTAGGTCAATTTGGGGAGTGTTATTATCTTAATAATACTAAATCCCCAATTCATGAACATAGGATGCCTTTTCATTTATTTAGGTCTTTTTAAAAGTCTTTGAACAAAGTTTTATAGTTTTGAATATACAAATCTTACATTTCTTTTGTTAAATTTATTCCAAAGTGTTTTGTACATTGTTTGATGCTATTGTAAATGGAACTGCTTTCTTAACTTTATTTTCAGAATGTTAATAACTAGTGTATAGAAATACAATATAGATTTTTGCACATTGCTCTTATATCCTACAATCATGCTGAACTAATAGGATTTAGTAGTGTGTGTGTGTGTGTGTGTGTGTGTGTGTGTGTTTCTTGGGATTTTTCTATATACAGTATCATGTCATCTGCAAATAGAGAGTTTAACATCTTCTTTTCCAACCTAAATGCCTTTTATTTCTTTTTCTTTCCTAATTGGCCCCATAAGAACCTTCAGTATGATGTGAATAACATATAAGAGGAGGGCAGACATACTTGTCTTGTCCTTGGTCTTAAGGGAAAAGTTTTCACTCTTCCACCATTAAGTATGATGTTAGGGGTAGTCTTTGCATGAATGCTCTTTATCAGGTTTGTAAAGTTTCTTTCTATTCCTAGTTTGTTGAGTATTTTTAATCATGAAATTATATTTTGTCAGGTTTTTTGTGTCTATTGAAAACATGTGGAAAAAAAAAGAAAACATGTGGTATTTGTCCTTTATTCTATTAATATGGTATGTTACATTGATCAATTTTTTTAGATATTAAGCCAACCTTTCAGCTAGAGGTAAGAGTTTAAGACCTTCTCAAGTCTTGCACAGCACTCTTGTGGTCTTCTGGATACCCAGGAATACACTGGAGCTTTTCAAAGCCCCCTGTAGACATCTCATTCCCCAATTTTTTCTTTTAATTTATTATCTCACCTCTTGTTTGCCTCAACTGGTATTGCTCCCTTGGGCAGATATAGTGTAAAACAATTACCACTGACTGTGGCAAGTGCCATGGGGTTAGGCTTTCCTCTCTAAACAAGCTCTGAACTACCATATGACCCAGCAATTCCACTACTGGGCATATACCCTGAGAAAACCATAATTCAAAAAGAGACATGTACCACGATGTTCATTGCAGCACTATTTACAATAGCCAGAACATGGAAGCAACCTGAGTGCCCACTGACAGATGAATGGATAAAGAAGATGTGGCACATATATAGAATGGAATTATTCAGCCATAAAAAGAAATGAAACTGAGTTATTTGTAGTGAGGTGGGTGGACCTAGAGTCTGTCATACAGAGTGAAGTAAGTCAGAAAGAGAAAACCAAATACTGTATGCTAACACATATATATGGAATCTAAAAAAAAAAAATGGTTCTAAAGAACCTAGGGGCAGAACAGGAATAAAGACGCAGACGTAGAGAGTGGACTTGAGGACACAGGGAGGGGGAAGGGGAAGCTGGGACGAAGTGAGAGAGTTGCATTGACATATATACACTACCAAATGTAAAATAGCTAGCTAGTGGGAAGCAGCTGCATCGCATGGGAGGATCAGCTCGGTGCTCTGTGACCACCTAGAGGGGTGGGATAGGGAGGGTGGGAAGGAGATGCAAGAGGGAGGGGATATGGGGATATATGTATACATATAGCTGATTCACTCTGTTATACAGCAGAAACTAACACCACATTGTAAAGCAATTATACTCCAATAAAACTCTGAGTCAAATAAAGACAAGCTCCGAAAATAAGGCTTTTTCAAGGAGCTGCCAGATAGGTCAAATAATGACAATTCAATGGTGATGGGTCTTTTGGGGAGCTCTAAACCCATTATGGTTTTCAAAGTTACTGAGCCCCTTGTGAGAGCAGGATGAGAACTGTGCAAGTTATAACACCATAACGTTTATTCCATTTACCAAGATTCAAACATTTTTTCTTAACTAAATGCTGTTTGAATTGTTACAAGCCTTCGGTTAATTTCTAGACTTCTGAAAAAGTTGATTTTGACCATGTTTGCCAGTGTTCTCATTGTTTTCACAGATTTTCAGAAGTCCTTACTCCAACATTTCAAAATGTTCTCCCTGCAGCTAGTTATTTATAAATTAATTCAATTAAATAAAATGAGACATTCAGCTTCTCACTCACACTAGCCATATTTTAAGTGTTCGATAACAATATGGGGCAAATAATGACTGTATTGGATAGTACAGATGCAAATGTTTACATCACTGCAGAAAGTTCTCCTAGACAGGACCAGAAGCAGGGAACCAGGAATCGGGGTAGAATTCCAGATATCCTTGTTCATCCCTTGTGTCCTTCCAGGTCTGAGCCCCGCAGCAACCACACTGGGGTAGATGCTCAGTGTAACTTCTCACCATTGGCTCAGAGACTGGACAGAGTTGCCATCTATGAGGAATTTCTGCGGCTGACCAAGAACGGTACCCAGCTGCAGAATTTTATCCTGGACAGGAATAGTGTCCTTGTGGATGGTAAGGCTCCCTGATCATTGGGGCAGAAGTGGGGGCTTCCAATTTCCTCACCTGGGGACTTTCCTGGGAATCTGGAGACTTTGGGATGAGTCAGCACTGAACTTTCCCAGGCTGGCAGGAGGTGCATACTCCCACAGATTTTACCCACTACTGAGGGAGAGGAAAGGACATTCAGTGGGATATAGGAGATGCTCGCCTTCTCCTAGACTGAACCATGCAATAGAACTCTCTTAGTGAAGGAAATGTTCTATATCTGTGCTATCCAGTGCATAAGCCACATGAGGCTCTTGAGCATATTAAACACGGCTATTGTGACTGGCTTTTATGGTTAATGATTTTTAATAGTACTGACTACCAGATTTTTAAAATTTCACTTAATTAAAATTAATTTTAATTTAAAAAGGCACTTGTTGAAGTAAGTCAGAAAGTGAAAAATACCGTATGCTAACACATATATATGGAATCTAAAAGAATAATGGTTCTAATGAACCCAGGGGTAGGACAGGAATAAAGACACAGACGTAGAGAATGGACTTAAGGACACGGGGAAGGGGAAGGGGAAGCTGGGACAAAGTGAGAGAGTAGCATTGACATATGTACACTACCAAATGTGAAACAGATAGCTGGTGGGAAGCAGCTGCATAGCACAGGGAGAGCAGCTCGATGCTTTGTGACCACCTAGAGGGGTGGGATAGGAAGGGTGGGAGGGAGACCCAAAAGGGAGGGGATATGGGGATATATAGCTAATTCACTTTGTTATGCAGCAGAAACTAACACAACACTGTAAAGCAATTGTACTCCAATAAAGATGTTAAAAAATTTTTTTTAATTTTTAAAAAATTTTTAAAAAGTAAAAAATTAATTAATTAATCACAGCATATATTTTGTAAACCTGGTCTGAATGGAAGTAAGAATAAACCTCCAAGTAGATGTAGAAAAAAAATAAAAAATAAAATTAAAAAAAAAATTAAAAAGCACTTGTTCCTGCTCGTATCAGGCAGCACATCTTAAGAATTTGCCTGGGGTTGTACGAGCAGGGGGACCTGAAACCCTCTCCCATTGCCCAATGGGTGCTATGTGTCCCTACCCTCATAGAGTTTGTGTTGCAGTTGGAAATAACAATAGGCAATTTAAAATTATAAATTATTTGATGTGAACCAATCTATACTTAGGAGTGGTAATCAGAAGGCTTCCTGGAGGAAGTTACAGTATAGGTGAATCCTGGAAAATAAGCATTAAAAACTCAGTAAAGGAGAAGGGAGAGAATGTACTCATAGCCAGAGAAGAGAGTTTTGAGTGGGAATTTATAAATTTAAAGAGATCCCATGGTCTTGTCAACTGTGATGATCCATTCTCCCCTCCACTAGCATAAGAGGGTCCAGCCCATCATCAGTCATCCATTCCCAGAGGTATGATTTGAAATATCACTCTTGTAGTGTGATAATGGCTTTGTTATTATGTAGCAAAATATCCTCATTTTCCAGTGATGCAAACTAAAATGGAGTGAATCATCATTATGGCTACATGACTTTAATATTTCAATGGAATTATGGGATGATGCAAGGGTAGCAAGTGTTACTAATTTATACATTGGGTATGATACTGTTTTAACTGGATAAATTATATATTGTTATTTCTAGGTGATGGACGTTTATAATGTGGTTCTATTTTTCTGTGTATTTGAAAAGTTTTATTTAAAAAAGTAAAACACACTCACATGCATTCTCCATTTCATTCACTTTCAGGGTATTCTCCCAATAGAAATGCTGTCTTGACTGAGAATTCGGGTAAGCCTCAAAGACGCTCCAGCCCAGGATGGGAAGGGAATATTTTGATTCTCTGCCTCACTAAAGGGAACCATGTACCCAGGGTATTGGATGATGATGAATGTTGGCCAACCCATGCTAAGGACTTTGAGGCACAGTAGGGGGGATCAGGAGCCCTAGGGGAATGATAGGAGGTGGCTCACACAAGCACTTGTCTCCCCAGACCTCCCCTTCTGGGCCATCATCCTCATCTGCCTGGCAGGACTCCTGGTGCTCATCACGTGCCTGATGTGCTGTTTCCTGGTTAGCAAGAAAATGCTGTTGTCTTCTTACTATCAGGTTGTAAGAGCCCTTTATATATTACAAATACCTGTCTTCTGCTGGGGATATGTTTTGCAAATATTTTCTCCTAGTCTGAGTGTAGTTTGCCTTTTCCTTTTCTTAACAGCATTAGTCATTAGGGAAATGTAAATGAAAGTCATAATGAGATACCACTACACATGAGAATGGCTAAAATTAAAAAGATAACAAGTGTTGGTGAAGATATGAAGCAACTGGAACTCACATATAGTGCTGGTAAAAAATAACATGGACACATTTTTAAAAGTTACATTGGGGTTAGTAGATGCAAACTATTACATATAGAATGGCTCAACAAGGTCCTACTGTATAGCACAGGGAACTATATCCAATATCCTGAGATTAAACCGTAATAGAAAAGAATATAAAAGAATGTATATATGTGTATAACTGAGTCACTTTGCGGTACAGCAGAAATTAACACAACATTGTAAACCAACTATAGTTCAATTAAAAAATAAATTTTAAAAGAAGTTACATACATCTATGCAACCATCCAGTCCTAGGAATTTATCCAAGAGAAATGAAAACATATGTCTACACAAAGACTCGTACACAGATATTCATAATAATATCTGTACTAGCCAAAGACTAAAAACAACCCAGAAGTCCATCAACAGGTGAAGGGATAAACAAACTGTGGTATATCCACACAATTCAATACTATTTAGCAATAGTGCTGGATTATTAACACATGCAATGATTAATCTCAAAATAATTATGCTGAATGAAAGAAGTCAGATGAAAAAGAGTACTTACTGTATGATTCCATTTATAAACAAACTCTTGAAAATACTAGCTAATCTCTGAGGCCAGAAATCAGATCAGTGGTTGTCTGGGAATAAGAATGTGTTTGTAAATAGCAGGGGAGGAGGAATTGCAAAAGAACATGAGGACGATTGGGGGGATAATGAGCATTCCTTATTTCGATTGTGGGGATGGTTCGATAAGTTTATAATCCAAACTTATCAAATCATTCACTTTAAATGTATGCAGTTTACTGTATGTCAGTTATACATCAGTTAAGCTGGGGTGGGGGGAGGAAAACAGAAGATATGAAGGGGATATCAGAGAGAAAATGGTAGAAAAAAAAGAGAGTTAAAAGGAAAAGAGAAGAAGAGAAAGAGGTGAAAGAGGGAGAAAAGAGACGAAAAGGGCTGGGAGAGAAAATTAAGAGAAAAAGAGAAAAAAGGAAGAGAGACACACAGGAACATCAGGTCTCTGTGGCTGTGGCCATGTCCCTCCCCTGTAACCCCCAATTCTTGGCAATGACTGGTCCATTCTGATGCCCTCTGCTCACCCTCACAGGTCACTGTCTCCAGGCAGAAGGAGGAGGAAGACTGTGAGGCTCAGCAACAACGCCTGGGCTATTATTACCTGGGACCTGAGGAAGCTGCAGTGACATCTGCTTGAGTCCCCTTTTCCCAGTCAGGTTCCAAAGGAGCTTGGCCGGAACAGAAATAAACCACATTGGTCAGTCACAACCTCTGGGTCTTTCTTCACTTGGCCCCTACCTGGTTCACACTGTACTGAGATAAAATTTTTCCCCTTCATTATGTCCTAAAGACAACTGCAACTTCTGTCTTATGGTTTCACACCACATCAACCCTCAGGGACACAAGGATTGGTGAAACAGGCACAGACGTTGTCAATGAACAAAATCAACGTCCCACTTAAGTGTGAGGTTTGCCTACCTAGTCACCCACTACACACGTCTCTCCTTGACTCCTGCACAGCCATCACCCCATCTCTATTCCTCCATATTCTGCACCCCCTTCCCTGAAGCCCTGACAGTCTCAAGTTCCCCTTGAACTACTTCGTTCTCTGATGTTCAGATTCACCAGGACATCCAGAAAATCTGCCTTGGTGACTCCTTTCCCTCATCACAGGTCCTACAAGGTGGGAAACAGACCAAGAAGGAATGAGTGGGTCTGACATGACTCTGCAATCAGCCCTGGGACTTGGGAGCTGAAGTGACTAGGTATCTGGGAAAACTGAATCCCTGAGTAATACCAAACTCTAGAGAGATAGGGTCTGCTTTGGATTTAAAGATTTATAAAACTCAGGGGAAAGGTCTGAGAGAAAAAAAGATAGTCTTTTTTTCATTTTTTTTTTTGCACTGAATCTAACCAAACAGTTAAAGCAGAAACTCTCTAACAGGCAGTGTGAAGCATCCCAGGCATGAAACAAATACTACAGATGCTCTATTATTGTTTAACACCTCGCTCTCAGAAACTATAAATCCCTCAGACAAAAGTAAGTCATGATAAAGAGGATTTGAATAATACAACATGCTTGATGAGGCAAACAGGCAAATAAATCCCAACAAGCAGTGACTTATTGTTAGATTAATGATGCCAAAAACAGTCTCTTTTGATATCATGATACCCCAAATGGCATGTCAATTTTCATGAATCAAATTTTCAACACATAAACATCTTTAAAAGTAAGGAAGGGCTTCCCTGGTGGCGCAGTGGTTGAGAGTCCGCCTGCCGATGCAGGGGACACGGGTTCGTGCCCCGGTCCGGGAAGATCCCACATGCCGCGGAGCGGCTGGGCCCGTGTGCCACGGCCGCTGAGCTTGCACGTCCGGAGCCTGTGCTCCGCAACGAAAGAGGCCACAACAGTGAGAGGCCTGCGTACCGCAAAAAGGAAAAAAAAAAAAAAAAAAAAAAAGTAAGGAAAAGTTTGGTATCTTATTATATGCAACTCTGAATTAGCATGCAACAACACAAAAATGGAGACCCAGTAGTAGATATCTTATTTGAGAACATAATTATAACAGCTCTTTAATGAAATATTATTTTGGAATCTACTGGGTATTATACAAAACAGGATAATCTGTTGTGAAAAGGTAGGTTTTATTCTGTGATTGTAAGGGCAAAAAAACTAAATAATCCCATAACTTTGATAACTCTCTATTGACTTTAAAATACAAATAAATAACATAAATAGAGAGGAAAATGAGATAACAACATGAAGAGGAAAGATCTCCTCTTCTAACCAGAAACCAAATCACTCCCCTCAAAAAGATCAGTCTAGGGAATTCCTTGGCAGTCCAGTGGTTAGGACTCGGCGCTTCCACTGCCGTGTGCCCGGGTTTGATCCCTCGTTGGGGAACTAAGATCCCGCAAGCTGAGGGGCCAGCAAAAAACAAACAAACAAATATAAATAGATCACTGTCTATATTTTCTATGCCACGCAAAAGAATTTAATGAGAGAAAAGTATTGGTTTATTTTAAAGTTTCAAAAGCTCAAAGCAAGAAAAACTTACAGACACTCCAGAGAGTCATTAATAAAGTGCTGTGGTGTACCATTTCATCTGCACCATTTTCTCTTTTTTTTCAAGTGTTTGTCAGGACATCCTTCTTAGCCCCTCACATCTTCTGCCTTGATAGCTAGCCTGTCTGCAATCAATGCTATTCTCAGGCTCTCTCTTGCCATCTTCACTTTCCTGTTTCCTGATATCTTCCTCAGTCACCGGAAATTGTTTGCAGAGGAGCTGTGAGATACCCAGACCAGCTCCTGGAATCATCTCTGCCAAATCTGAAGACTGGGCAGGGGTGGGCCTGGGGCTGGAGTTCAGACCACCTGTGAGAACTCCTGGCAGAGATTCACCTGTGCAACTAGTTGCAGGTTTTTGCAAGGCTTTGGCAAGATCCAAAGTACTTAAGGGTTCTCTGGTTCCACTGAAGACCTGGAATCCATGTAGTCTCTTCTGCCAGAGCACTTGCTGGGGCTTATCCAAAGTTTCCTCCCATTGATGGCATCTGATCTCATTGCCAGGATAGGATGTGATTCTAGCAACCAGCCTCTTGAATATGTACAGACATTCTCAGAGGGATGGAGGTGCTTAAGCCACGCTTTGGATTGGTTTCTACAATCACGTTGCTTCCTCTGTGAAGTCTTGACCATCATGCTTCTTTTCTTCTTATCCTATAAAATTAATCATGAAATTGTACAGGACAAAATAGTTCTAACGTCTTATTCCTAAGGAGAAACAAATATTATTAAATATATATATATTTTTAACATCTTTATTGGAGTATAATTGCTTTACAATGGTGTGTTAGTTTCTGCTTTATAACAAAGTGAATCAGCTATACATATACATATATCCCCACATCTCCTCCCTCTTGGGTCTCCCTCCCACCCTCCCTATCCCACCCCTCTAGTTGGTCACAAAGCACTGAGCTGATCTCCCTGTGCTATTCGGCTGCTTCCCACTGGCTATCTATTTTACATTTGGTAGTATGTATAAGTCAATGCTAGTCTCTCACTTCGTCCCAGCTTACCCTTCTCCCTCCCCATGTCCTTATATATATATTTTTTTAAGTGCCAATGTAGCCATTGCCCGGGCATTAAAAACTCTTATCCACAACACTGCCATTTTCAGGAAAGATCCAACAGTTGATGTGATTCCCTTTTTTGGAACCTTCACTGGTGGGTTGTTGCTTTACTTTAAGCATGATAACCCTAAGAAAACTTCCAACGGAATCACCATTCTGAAGCATAACATATTTCACACTTCTGGTACCCTGTAAAAACGTTTGCATTGCACTGGAAAGCAGCATCTGGAGCAGATCTATTTCCTCTTCTAGTTCATTTTCAAGCCCTATTATCAAAAATCTCTTCTCTAGATGGAGAATGCTACTCTTGGTATGGATTTCACAGGCGTTCTTCCCTCAAATTCAGATTTCTCACAAAGACGTTTGTAACAACAGCTGGTCACTGCTATGCCTCAGTGTGATCTGACGTTCACTTTCCATTTGAGGGCAAAGGAGGGAGACAGAGATGAGGGAGTGAAAAAGAGAGCTGGCTTCCCCAGCCCCCAGAGCTGCTAGACAGTGCTGCTCTATTCTTCCTTACTGCTGCCTGCACATTGGTCATTTCTTTCAACTTTCGCTACTGTGTTAAGCATAAAAGAAAATCCAAATCTGTTAGGTATTGCAGGCTCTCTGTTACATGTCTTTACCCACATTTATCTTGCTCCGTTTCTCCACAACCAGGAGAATATAAACACAGAGCTTATTACTAAACTTTCAAGATTATTAAACACAGGAACTAGATCTACATTTCCAAAAGGAGACTGATATTTCTTCAAAGTCCCAGACCAGGGCTGAGTGTGGTACATCATTAACAGTCAATGATGACAGTGAAATATATATATTTGACCCTGTTTGGCTGCTTCTGTAGTGGATACTTTATGGGGTGACACCAGCCAACGTGTGACCTGGTGGATGAGCAGCCAAACAGGTTTAATTAGATCAGAGACACAAAGGGCTATTCCCTCCTTCGATAACAAATAAAGCAGTTGTAAGCGCCTACAATAGCAGTCGAGAAACAAAGGCAGCAAAACAGAACCAAAATTGGTCCTTCTCCTAGCTGGCCTGTGATTTACCTGTAACCTGGGAAGTGACAGCTGGAGCAGGAGACTCAGCTAGAAGCCAGCTCCAGAAGATGAATTGCTTGGGGATGGGGAGGAGGGAGGTAGCAAAATCTCTGTTTTGTAGCCCAAATTTACTCAACTATTTGTTACACATCATAGAAGGCTGCTAGGTTTTAGCCTGCTGCTCCCAGACCTGGTCCTGATTTCACCAGATTTGCACGCTAGGAATCCCATAAAATAAATCACCCCCTACTCCCGGATCCCACAGACAGCTCCGCGGGGTTAACGCCACCACAAACCGGCTCTGGCCTTAGTACAGGGCATCCTCCAAGCCCAGGGTGGGAGGCGAAGCGGGTAGGAGGCAATGGCAGGCGACGGTACTCCGACTTTTCTCCACCCCCACGCGCATTAGAAGCGTCGATTTTTGGATCCAGGTCTAGCAGGGATTAATTGTCAGGCAAGTCAACAGTTTACCCCACTTCAGAAAGGACGAAAGACTGAGCGGGCGGACAGGAATCTCCCCCTGCCAAAGGGCTCCTACCTGCTCCCTCTTCCTCCTCCGTCCAAGATAACAAGCTCAAGCCAAAGCCTGCGCATTTCGCCAACTCTCCGTTTTCTAAGTGGCCCAGGAGCCCAGACAGGGACCACAAGGTGGTGGAGGAGGGAGTGAAGGAAGGGAGGGGGCAGCAGGTGCTGCAAACAGCTTCGCCTCACAGCTCCGCACTCAGCTCGCGCATCAGCGCACCACCGCCTTTCGGTCCTCCTCCTCCCGGCCTGGCGCAGTCTGCGTGGCGTTGCGTTCGCCCTCCTCCAGCTCCGCGGGGTGCAGGTGCTTGGCGAGCTCCCGCAGCGCCGCTGCACGTCCGAAGTGGTCGTTGTGCCGCTTCTCCATAATCGGGTCCTCCAGGCTCTGGAACTCGAGCTCGTGGCTGCGCTGGGCAAAGAGCTGGATCTGCACCCCATAGGGCTGTTGGCCGAAACGCGGCTCGTCGCCGATCTTGAACCCGCGCTGGCCTAGGCGGCATCAATCGGGTGAAGCTCTCGGAGTGGCATCTGCTCAGCTCGCGCTGCGCACCGTGGCGCTGGGGCTCC